ATCTGATTGATTGTAGACAAATAGTATGGTGGGATAATTAAGTCTCTGAGTTCTCCAAATGTGCATTCCTCAGTCTTTAAACAATCCATCATGCATTCATCATGTACAGTGTACTGACACCACACACATCTGGAGAAGAGACCAAAAAAACATGAAAAAAATTCTCAAACAACAGGCACATTGACTTTGCTCATATGGAACTTCATATGACTAAGTATTGGCTACAGAAAATTACGTAACTTGGTCATGTGCTTACAAGTCTACAAAAGCATTTGAATTATGTGAAAAAAAACAACCCTTAACCATTTAAAATTAATTATTTTTAATTGTAAAACCAGATGCTGTAAATATCCTCTTGCATTGTCTGCAATATAAACAGTTACACTGAAAGCTTGTATGAGAAACTGGACTTCTATCCTTCCTTTAAAGAGCATTTCTTACAACTGGTAATACCTCTTTAAGTCTGAAACCTAAAAGGTTAATCAGTACCATGCCGGACTGATGGGATTTTGTTATGCAAAACAGCTTTTTGACCTATTCCAAAAGCTGTCCTGGAAAACAGAACAGAACAAGAGGAAATACTGCAGCATACACTGCCAGCCTCTGCGGAATGTTAATCCTCCTTTGCTACATCCACAGCCTTGGTTTAAGCAGCTGTGAAAGCTATTTTTGGAGCCTTTCTGACTAATCCAGTACACGGCTGCAGTAGCAGTGATACTTGCCCTGTACTGCAACTTTCTTCTTTTTCCTGTCTTCCTTTCCCCTTTGCTTCCAAAATCCTCTCCTTCCCTCCTCTCCTGCACACACTCTCAAGGTTTTGTTCCTGCCAGGATGCTGATTTACACTTAACCAAGCCATTGGACAGCATCACAGGGAAGGAAAGCAGAAGCTGGCAGAAATTATATGCTGGAAAGATGACATCCTTTGGGAAGGCTGAAGTAACACACTGTACCCAGGCCCCAGACCACTGGGAATATATTTAACATAACATGCCACTTTGTGTCATGCTTTGCAAGCAGCCTTACTGATGACAGTGCAAGCCCATTCAATGGTTCCTTGACATTTTTATCACTCTTACCACAAACTTTAACAATAGATTATATTACAGTAGGTTTTTTAACTTCCCATTAACTTTTTTCTGAGCAACCTTAAAAATGAACTATGTAAAACTGCTATAGGATGGCTCCTTGTTCTGGTTACACTAAGCACATGCTGATTTTGCAGAGATGCACACACATTCTGGCACTCTGAATTGTAACCTGTGCCACCCAAATTGCTCAGGCTATCTATCTACTGTTCAAATGGCAAGTGCACTATAACCTTCCTAATGTCATCCCCTAAAATAGAAGGTCTTTTGAAAATAAAGAGCCTTTTATATGTAATTACAGAGTAGCTAGGACATCACGCTGCAGTAATGCCATTAAGAGAACAAGCAGACAGGAGCTGCAATGCCACGCTCTTAATCTGTGACCCAGATTAACCACAAGTATCCATGTCAGGCCCTCTGAAGCTGTTTTTTTAATAGGCTTTCATATTCGACTGTGGTACAATCTCCTTCGGGGTGCTGTGTCCCGATGACCCTGCAGAAAACGCCAACCCTGACCGGGCACCGCACTCCCCAGCCAAGCCAGGCTCCCCGCGGGTACCTGTAGTCGCAGAGCTTGGGCTGCGTGCCGCACTGCTGCCCGCACACCGCGCAGCAGCTGCACAGCGGGACGTTGCCTCGGATCCAGTGGTGCGGCATGGAGCTGTGGGCTCCCCCGTTGCCCCTCATCATGATTTCCTTGCAGAGGAAGCGCTGGTCGGCCTTCCTGAGGCATCTCTCGCTGACGCGCAGCCCGCAGCAGTCGCAGAAAGCCCCTTGCAGGATGTGCTGGGCGCACACGCAGCAGTAGGAGGGCTGGCCGAACAGGTCCGTGTAGCGCCAGCCGTGCTTGCTCTTGCGGAAGATGTCTCGGATCTGCAGCTGCCGCCGGGACCGCTGGAAGCTGCACCACAAGGTGATGAGCACCGGCAGGAGCACGGAGCACAGAGTCCAGAACACCAAGCTCCTGTCCGCGACGCCCGCGCTGGAGGTGCCGCTCCTGCTCTCCGTGCCTCCCATTCCTCAGCAGCTCGCCCCCCCCCGCC